TAGTTGTCTACTTTTAGTTACACAGAATATAACTTAGTTGTAGTTGTCTACTTTTAGTTACACAGAATATAACTTAGTTGTAGTTGTCTACTTTTAGTTACACAGAATATAACTTAGTTGTAGTTGTCTACTTTTAGTTACACAGAATATAACTTAGTTGTAGTTGTCTACTTTTAGTTACACAGAAATGTGGATGGAACTTTTGCACTAATCATCATAGCAAAATTTTCATAATTACTGTTAAAAAATGTTATTAATGATAAATATTAACATTATATTTTAATTTAACCCACTATATGGGCTTGGTTATTTTTTAATCTTGTGACTACTAGGTCCTACAAATTGTAGGACCAAACAATAAAACTAGTGGATGAAATTGTTTGAAATTTAACAAGAACCTTCCTTTCAGAAAATTATTTAATTCTGATTTTTGTACTATTTCTAATAAAAATTTATTATTTAATATGGTTATTTGCATTCAAACTCTTAATAGTTCACCTGCAAGGTGATTTTCATTTTGAGTATAAAAATACTATTTATTATCTTACAGTTTTCACATTTCATTTCCATAATCTCTAAAACCTGCTAAATGAATATCAAAATAGTTTTTCAAGGTAAATGTTTATATTTTATTTTCCACTTTCTCTACTGTATCACTAACTCTAGATGTTATCATCAATGAAATGTCTAAAATGGAAATATGTACTTACATTTTATCTCTTTGTTGAATAGTTTTAAAATATCTTCTTCGAATCATATGTGTAATTTAATGTTTTTACCTTTTCACTTTTAGTTTATTTTTAATGTTTTATTTTCCTTTCCAATTCTTTATCTTTTACCCTCAAGGTGGATTCCTGTGAGGGGATGTCCCAAGGAAGGTTTACCTCCTTTGGGATCCAAATATCCACCCACGTGTTTGCCATGTGTGGCATCCCATGAAAGGGATGATAAGGTCTTGGTGATTTAAGTGTGTCATTGATGGGTTAGTTTATATCGGTGGCAGTTTAATACATCATTTTGACCATGAATTCCTACAGATAGAAGGCCTTGTGGTGACTCTCCATGGGTCAGTCAACTGGTCCTGTTGGGCTAGGGTCAACTAAGTACCTGAGTTGGAAGTTCTCAACAGTTGTTGTGGACATTGTGTCTGATGCTGGTGTTTGGATATAGTACCCATGAAACCTTGGCATATCTACAATGCTCTACTTTAGCATTGTAATGTGTCTCCTTATAGGACTCCATGATGGCTGGGTAGAGTGGGCACTGAAGTTCATCAATTTTATATGGATCCTGCACCCATAACCACCCCAAAAAATCTGAAAGAAATTTAAATTAATCTTTATTTATTTCTAGAATGACTTCAAATTGTTGTTACATTCATTTATCCTAAGTAGCTCTAAGTTCGTAACATTATACATCTATTTATAATTAAATTTTTTTGTTTTATTACTCTTTGAACCGTGTCTAACTGCTATCCTTGCCATTATAAGTTGTAAATCACTCAGGGAATGTGCAGCTCATGTTACTATATCAAATTACATTACCCACAAGCTGCTCCCATGCATGCCTCTGAACCATTTTAATTATATTATTATTATTATTACTTATTTTACCTAATCTAGTCTTAAATAACTTAAAAAGATGCGTATTTTTAGATTTTAGTTACTTTTATGATAATAATTATGAAAAACAAGAAATAACGTACTTACCCAATCTTCTTTTTTCTTGCTCTTGGGCTTACGACGAGAGTTAACCCTAATTTTATATACTATAGATAATAATGCACTTGATAATTTTTATTTAATTAAATAATGCACCAAAAAATATAGACTAATAACATGCAAAAAGTAGACAAATTCACTTACCTCTCAAAATTTCTTTGGCTTTTTAACTATGCGACAAGAGCCATTACAAATTCATCCAACCTAGTTGTTAACTCTCCCATGGGAATGAATCTTGTACTGTGAGTGAAATTAATGATATTCTGTTCAGAATACAACCTTATACAATAATCATTTGATAGATGAAAAACATGACTTTCTATTGGTTATAGGTAATGTATAATGAAAGAGAGGATTTGACAGGTGGGTGTAGCAGAAGGGGTCTGATTCTCTGTTCGATACCTTTGTAACAAAACATTGAAGACTAGAAAAATTATGGTTTGTCTGAGCAATAACGATTTTATTAAGTATTTTACGTTTAATTTCATACTTTTTCAAGGGGTGATGGATAAAATAGGGATGATGACATGCTAAGAAAAATTGTGTCACGTGGGTCATACTATTGGAAATTCAGGATTTTTTAAAATATTCCCTTGTAGAATTAAGAACTTAAAACTTGTATACTATTAAAATATGTATTATTAGCTAAGATTTTATGCTATTCTAATTGGTATAACATAAACATAAAGTAGTTTAATACAATTTTGAATGTAAGACACTAAAACCTTGTATCATGTGTGGGAAAGGGTACCTGGGGTGAGAGGGTTAAGGCCATGATAGATACCTAATATCACATCTGTCTCTCGTTACAGGAAACATTCCTGAGAACTGTTGATACTGTCACCTTTTGGCAGTTTTCTTTGTACCAGAATGACAGCTTGTGTGATGTATGAGTCCATGGAGGCGTGGCACTGGTGGTTGCCAGCATGTACCCACCTTGTCTGTGCCACACGATACACCCTTGGAGGTCGTAGCCATCCATATCTCTGTGGGTTGTACCATCACTGTTTGTTCTCTTTACCTGTCTCCAGGAGAGTCTTTTGACCAATCAGACCTTGATGCTCTCATAGAACAGTTGCCATCTTCCTTTTTCTTCTTAATGGACACAATCCTCTCTGGGGTCTTGCTGATATTGATGGGAGCAACCTTTCTCTATTTAATACTCTTTTTTTTATCTATTTGTTCTCCTTCACTTTTTCTTATTTTTCTTGGATGACTGACAGTGACCTAATGGGCAGTAATAATTTTTCCATTGTTTTGAGGGAGATTGGCCATGGTCGATGCCACCCAACCCAAGTGCTTTGGTGAAAATTGGAGCAGGCTGACTGGCTCTCCTTCACCGCTCTTTTGGAACTAGATTCTGCTGTTGTTAGTCTTCCATCTATTAACGACTGCATGGAGGCAGTAAATGATTGTATAATTCAAGCAGCTGTTTGTTCTATTCCCCAAACCTCGACAAGGTATCCTCATCCATGGTGGTCTCCTGCCTGTCAGCTGGCATGGAAGGCTCAGAAAAGGACCTGGGATATCTTTCACTGGTATCCCACTCTTTCCAACTGTGTTGCTTTCCAGCAAGCCTGTGCCTATGCTCAGCAGGTCAGACGTCAAAGCCAGAAGGAATCTTGGATTAATGCACCACCAGCATCTCTTCTACCTCCAGTTCCAAAATTATCTGGGACAAGATTTGGAAGGTCAATGGGAAGCTTCCCATCCCCATTCCATCTTGCTCTCCAATGGCCAGGAAGCTGCTGATGTACATTTGAAAATAATTTATCACCTACATTTCCTTCTAGCCTAGAAAATTAAATGAGAAAACTTCTCTTTTTATTGGTTATAATCATGCCGTTCAGGCTTAGCAACAGATTACTTTGAATGAGGGAGTGGCATCTACCAGAAAGGAAAATGTAATAAGCTCCTACGTGGAATGATATAGCTGCTGTAAAAGGAAACTAAAATTTAGATTTTGATCTTGTATTTGTAGAAAATCATTTAGACTGTTATAGAAGTACTGAATCAAAACTGAACAGAAACATAAGCAACCAAATCAAAGATATTTGAACTGCATGTGGTGTCATGTGGTAGAAAACTAAAGTTTTAATTGATTTTTTCAAAGGTTTATTTTGACATAAAGGAACAATAACTTGGATAATATAAAACTTTGAACTATAATGTATTTAATAATACTGATTTCATTAACATCCACTGAGAGTAAATTGGTTTAATTAAATTTTGAATGTAACTTGGTAACACTATGTACCATCTGCAGAAAGGTATTAAAAGAGTGTAGTGGTTGTTAAATGATTAACTACGATGTAAACTTGAAACTGTACATACTATAACTTTTAACTCTCTCTACACGAGCTCGGTTGAATTGACTGACCACATGACCACTTTGTCATTATAGTTTTGATAATACTAACTTTTAATATACTATGTATATCTTCACAAAATTTGGCAGAATATCAGTAAACATTATGAGACTTTCATGTACAAAAAATAATATTTTCTATTGAAATGTTTTTAATAAACTTAAAAAGATTTGTTCTTGAATATATCAAGTCTTCTTTTTGACTGGTCAGAGAGCAAAGTAATTTTCATGTTGAGATTAAAAATACTTTTCTTCATGTCAAACATCTCAAATTTCATTTGCACAATCTAAAACCTCCTAAATATCTTAAATATATTTCAAATGTTTGTTTTCAATAAAACTTTATATTTTAATTGTTATTTTCTCTACCATAACTTTATGTGGTTGGTAAATTTGACCAATCTTGTAACCACCAAAAAACAAATTGAAATAAATCTAAATTACCCTTTTTTCTTTCTGGAATGACTTTAAA